AATAAACTAAAAAAATAATTTATTTGTAAATAAAAAAGTTTGAATTTATGTTGTAATTTGAAGATTTATATTGAACAAGAATTTAAGATAGTGTAAGCTATACAAAAATTTCTTATAATTTATTGGACAATCAAAGCTAATGTAAATTTCGCGTTAATGTTGCAAAAATTTGTATAATAAAATGAAAAAATAAAATTAAGTAATCAAATGTTTGGTTATTTAATTTATCAAAATTAAAAATATTGCTTAAAAAATTTAAAGTATGAAGTTAATTCTATTTAATGAAAGAAATAAATATATTTGAATTGATTAAAGAAGATAATTATTTAATAAAAAGATAAAAACTTCATTTTGATAAATTTATATTATATAGGACTCAAGATAACATTGAAAAACAAAAGTCTTAATGATTTAAAACATATAAAAGTCAAAATTTTATATAATAACACTATAAATTGCTTTATTAATAGATGAAAATGTTTAAATTTGATTTATTAATAAATATATAAATGAATTACATTTCATAACAAAGAATAGAGAAATATTTGAGAGGATATATTTTTAATTAATAAATAAAATAAAAATTAAAGATAGCATACTTAAATTAGTAACATATATATAATTAATCAAAAATAAATACAATTGAATTTTACTATTTTATATCATTTAATAATTTAAATAAAAGAATGTTCTAAATAATAGATTAAAAAATAAATAAGTATATAATTGATAAATTTTAAAAGTTAGATTTTACTTTCTTTTAAGTAAATTAACTGTGTATAAAACTTAAGATAAAGTTGATATACATAAATTTTGATGATTTACAATGCATAATGATAGAGACACTGTACATTCACATTATAAATTATTATAATAATTTTATATATTTATTTATTATAAAATTTTAAAATAAAGTTAATTTATCAATCGTAAAATAAAATAAATCTACATCAAATCATATTAAACTTATACAATAATAAAATAATAAAAAGAAATATTAATTAATAAATAAAGTAGAAGTATAACTATAATGTCAATAATAAATACATGATACCTCATCGCTATAATTATTATTATTATTTGAAAAACTAAAATATTTTTATTTACTTGACTAACATAAAAATAAAAATGAACATAAAACAGAAATAAATAAATAAAATAAAAAACATTTAGAAATTAAATTTTTATTTAATTTTTGAAAAATAAAGAAAAAAATTACTATAAAACTTTAATTTAAGAAGTTTATTTACCTTTTTTATATATCTTCATCACTATTTTTAATATTATCTTTATTAATATTTACTAACAAAAATAAATAAATAAAATAAACTCAAAAAAAATAATCACATCTATTTACTTATAATTATTATGATTTTTTTATATTATTAAAATAAAATGTATTCAAACAAGTTTAATATATATACATATTATAATATAAGGATTTGATGAGATTGAAATGTGAGAGCTTAAAGTAATTTGGATATCTCCTGTTTAGGCGGGAACTAGACCTCCAATCATTGTTCGCTTAAGTGAAAAAATTTACTTAAGTGAAAATGTGTTATTTTCCCTTAAAATTATGACAAAATGGCTTGAGCTAATTTTTATAAAACAAATAGCTTAAGTGGGGAAAAAAAAAAAAAAGCTTAAACAAAAATGATAGGTTTAAGCGAAAAATGGACAGAAAACTTTAATTTCAATCAATCTTCTCTTCTCCTCTCCCTAAACCTAACATTTCCTCTTCAACCTCCATATTCAACCTTCTTCTTTCTAACTCTTCTCTTTCCCTCCTAACTCTCTTTTCCTTCAATCTCATACCTAATTCCTCTTTTCCTCTTCTCATTCTCACATCACCGAATACCTATTTCTCTTTTTTTTCTCTATACTCAACTATTCACTTTCCTCTTCCTCCACTATCAAAATTATTAAAAAAATTTAATTTAATTATTTAAATTTAAAAGATATAAAATAAATAAAAGGAAAAATTAATCTTTTCATCTCTTAACTTTATGATAAAATTTATTTTAGTCTTTTAATTATTTTTTATTCAATTTAGTTCTTGAAGTTTTATATATTTTTTAAGTTAGTTAATAATTATGACCTATTCCTTTAGCCAATTTAGCTCTTAATACAAGATCATTTAAGTTAGGTTTTTTTGTTAGTAGGATAGATGAATTCTTATAGATCCATCATCCGAAAGAATCAGACATGATAATTTTTCATCATCCGGCTCAAGCAAGAATCAAACATTTCGAATGTATCCATAGAAAAAATGCATATGTTATCCACACATATAGAAAGATAGCTTTGTTGTATGACTTAACAGAGATATCCTAGGAGACACTTAAATGACCTTAATGTCGTTTATTTAATTCAATTTTGATTTTTTATTTAAAAAATTATTTAAAAATAGTAAAATTTGTTTAAGTGGAGCTAACTCCCCCGCCTCTCCTTCCTTCTCCCTTTTCAACTCCCCCACCCACTAGCCTTGTCTTACCCTCCTCTAGCCCCCGTTCCTCTCCTTACAACCCCTCCCCTCCCTAGCCTTCATATTCAAGTATTCAAAATCATAAATTTAAAATTCAATTATTAGAGTGCGTGGCAAGAAACACTATCTTGTTTTAAAGTTTGGCTTCCACATTTTTTTCTTGTTCTTATTTTCTACTCATTTCTTTCTTTTGCTATTTGAGTTCACAATCCATTCATTTTTAACATCACAACATATATATTATATAATTTATAGTATAAAATTGTTGAAGGAGAGCCATTTTTGGAGGAAGTGAAAAGAATAATAAAAAATTACCAAAAATTGGTTGTCATAATTGAAAAATACACTTTGACAGTGGTTGTAGTGGTGACATTGGCAGAGAGTAGGGCGATAGTATAACTCAATGAGGTTAAGGTGGAGGTGAATGGTAGCTTTGAGTGGGTGATGGAGAATGGGTGGAGGCAAAGTGATCTTCCTTGTATTCTGTTTTCTTAAGTTGATGCTAAATTCTGTATTTTTTGTGGCTGTTATGCAAAATTGACACTAAATTCTACATTTTATGCAACAGTTATACAAAATTGACGCTAAATTCTGCATTTTTTGCGGCAATTATTAAAACTGATATTAAATATTATCTTCTAAGTGTTTTGTTGACAATTATTAATAACTACTGTTAATGAACTGACGCTAAGTGCATTTTTGGTAGCATAAGAACCCATCTAATCAAACATAAGAATAAGAAAAATCAAACAACATAATCAATCTTAATCAAACAACCAAAAATCAATGAAATTAAGAACATTTAAATTTTGGTTTCAAATTACCCTTGGGATTGTAAGAAAATCCCTTTCTTTCGATTTATTATTGTCCAAGTAAGGTAAATCATAAGCTCATTTACCCTCCACCTTAATCACTAGGATGATGAACAAGAAAAATGAACACCAACAAGTCCAAGGAACTCCTAAACTTGAAAACTCCAAGAACTCAAGATGTAAGACTTCTCATGGATTAAAACAAATTATTTCAAGGTTTCAAAGAAAACTTTAAGAACTTATAAATTCAAAACCTCACTAGATCATGAACTCGGTTTCAAGAGACAGAAAGAAAGGTTTTAACTTTGATGCAAGAAATTCTAACTCCTAAGCCTTCTATTTGTAGTGGTGAAGGATAACTATTCTATCATAACTTAGTTATAGTAACTTAACTAGATTAATTCCATTTGATTGAATCCAATCCGAAATATTCAAATAGCCAATTTTTCATTGAAACTCAATCAATTACCTAACCTCTCATTGAATCCAAACTAGGTGTGAGATTGCTAGGACAAGTGTCCCTCATTGGTTCCTATGGTGGTTGTGATTGCTTAAGGACATTATAGGTGGCTGAACTTCCGCTTTTCTCCTTTTTCCCCCCACTTCTAAGGCCACAAACTGTTCGTAGGTTTTACGGTTGCCTCAGTTACTTACCTATTTATCCAACCTCAACCGAAACTTCAGGCCTTTAATTTGTCTCATGTGCCTTCAATTACTTAAGGATGAAATCCTAATAGTTTTTAAGATAATTTTGTTTAAGAGATAAGTTTTCTAAATTTTTAACATTTCTCATAGCCTTGGCTGATTTAGAAGTCCTTTCTGCTGAATGATGCCTCCGTTGCTCCTTCAAAAATGACCATTTTTCTCTTGATTAAAAGTATACTTAAGGGTATTTTACGTATTTCACATTCTAGAGACAATTAGGTAATTTCACTTCTATATGTAAGGGTGTAGTTTTGAGATTCACATTCAATCCTCCTAGACCATCTAGCTTTCTCTTGATTAGGATTATCTAGTATAATTTTATCATTTAAATAATTAATCTTTTTTCATAGCATTAATCTAAGTAAAACTAATTGAGAGTATTTTAGTTCTTTCACTTATCAGTTTAGAATTTTGAAAAAGTTTGGGTACAAACTTTGGAAATAGTCAAGATATTTTCTCATATATTTTGAATGTATTTTAGGTATGCATGTTTATAAAATGTATAAAATTAATAAAATTGACATCAAATTTTCGTCATTCAGGTATCAAGTCTATTTCAAATAACAACACATTTTAAATTAACGAGGAATATCCAACAAACAACCATGCAGTGAATGTTTGGATGAGTGTTTGCAAACTTGAATTTAGACGATTTTGAATTTTTTAGAAGTGATTTTATTTAGAAGTGAATTTGAAGTTATGTGATTTATATATAATTTTTTTTGCATAAAAATAAATTTGTAGCAAAATTAGTATAAATTTTTCAATTTAACATGAAAATTACAATTTATCATGTCAACTGAAATGGAAGTTTAGAGGCAAAATCAACTATATCATAAAATCCCCTGACATTTTGACACAAATTTCAAACAAGTTTACAGTTCTAAACTTGAGCTTAAAGATTTTTAACACTCGTCCAAATAAACACAGCCGTTCAAAACTATTTATAAAGAACTCGGAGATGGCTGGTAGTGGTACGTAATGCCAACTTGTGAAAATAAATAAAGGATTATTTATTTTAGCCTCTCCTTAAGAAGTTCAAAATATAGCTTTATTTTATTAATTACAGGGTCAAAACATATGATGCATAAACGCCACAGCTACTCGGTACTTCGGTGATTTCGTGCAATCCTCAATGTTTTGAACCTGCAAATTTGACAAATGAGATATAAAACAAAGAAAAACTTTTTAACATGCATAGAGAAATGATATTGTTTCTTTTTATAATGAGGATCATCACGTGTCTTAAGTTCCCACAATCACAAAATGATTCGTAGCTAACTTTTGATTAATTCTTTCTTTTAAATTAGAGACATAGTCAAACATTATTTTTTAATTATTCAGAATCATAGACATCATGGTGATCTCGGACTATATGATAATTTCTAGTTAAATGGGTGTAATGCGGGACCGGAAAAGAAAATACAAACAATTTCCTAAGTAAATTGTTGACAACGAACAGAACTCAACTCCCACTTACCTTAGCTGTTGAACTTTAAATTGACAGCAACAAATACAAGAACTTGATCAGCAACATGATTAAGGAACCGAAAATACGCGCACCTCCATGTCCTGCTGAGGAATATAGAACCACAAAGGCCCCAGAAACCCACTGCAAAACCAACACCCATCCCAAGGTAGAGTGACTCAGTTTCATCATCATTGTTTCCTTGGTTTGAATCATCAACATTACCACTTTCGCTTGTGCAGTTAAATGGTAGAGGAGCACCACAAAGTCCAGGATTCCCAACAAAGCTAGATGCATCAAAAGTCTGAAGCTGAGTTCCCAATGGAATTTGTCCTGTGAAATAGTTGTATGACAGATTCAAAAAGCTCAAGAAAGAAAGATAGGAAATGGACACAGGAATTTCACCATCAAGTTTGTTATTGGACAGATCAAGAGATTCCAAGTTTTTCATGCTTCCAATCTCTCTTGATATCTTTCCTGTGAAATGGTTTCTTGACAAGTTTAAGGTCTGCAGCTGAACAAGACTGAAAACTTGTGCAGGGATTTCACCTGACAAGTTGTTGAATGAAAGGTCAAGAGTTCTAAGCAACCCATAGTCTTCAAACTCTAATTCTTGGCCTTTGGTGTACAAATTGAACTCAAATGGATAGTGACTTGTTCTTTGTGCTCCACCCATGCTAGGAATGTTGCTAAAACATTTTGGAATATGCCCTGAAAGTTTGTTGTTGAAAAGGTCAAGTTGTATCAGTGAAGGGAGATTGCACAGTTCTGGTGGAATATTGCCTTCAAATTGGTTAGATCCCAACAGCATCACTTCCATGCTATGCGGCATCTTTGTTGGTACTCTTCCAGAAAAGTGGTTATCTCCTAGGTTGATGAATTCCAAGTTTCTTACGTTTGACAGGTCCAACGAAAAATTGCCAGACAAGCTATTGTTGTGCAAATCCAATGCTATGAGGTCAACAAATGAGCCCATAGATGGAGGAACTTCACCATTTAGCATGTTACTCTCCATGAAAAGGAAAGACAAACCTTTCCAATACTCCCAACAATCAGGAACTCCTCCAGTTAAATGATTGGATGATATGTCCAAATAGTCCAAACTATTTTCCTTACCCAACTTGTGGCAGAACAAAGGGGAAATGGGTCCGTAGAAAGAGTTGTGTGACAAGTCCAAATAGATGACATTTACTGATATGTGTGGGAGCCCCCCCGTGAAATTATTATGGTCCATAAATATAAGTTCAGAGTTTAGAGTCACTTTTGATAAGTCTGCACTGATTGTGTTCTTGGACAAGTTGAGCTGAGTAATGTTAACCACAAACCTCCAAAACATGTCTCCATTTATGGATGAGATGCTTGAGTTGGGAACCTCTAGATATTCTAGTGACTTTTGTGTATATATCCATTCTGGAAACTTGGGACCTAGAACTGTGTTGCTCAAACTGATGCCATTCAGATGAAAAGGAGGAATCCAATCAGAATCCAAATCAAATGCAAAATGTGCACTCAAAACCAGTGATTCTAAATTGGAGAGGTTGAAAAAATGCTTCTCAGATAAAACACCTGACAAGGACTCACCTCCAATGAATAAAGTCCGTAAGTTAAAGAGCTGTCCAATGCTGGTTGGAATATTACCAGTCAGTAAATTGGAGCTGATGCTCAAGTCAACCAAGGATGAGAGATTTCCTAGAGATGAAGGGATTGAACCATGAAACATGTTCTCAGATAAACCAAGAAACTGTAAATTTTCATGCTGACCAAGCCAATCAGGAATGGATCCATTGAGTTCATTGTCATTCAGCCTTAGAGATTTAAGGTTTTGAAGACTCAACATGTTCTTGGGTATTTGTCCTTGTAAAAGGTTGAAGCTAAGGTCAATATATGAGATACTTGTGAGGTTAAACAACCAATAAGGTAATTCAGAGACAAAGTGGTTCCCAGAGAGGTCAAAAGTTAAAAGTGAAGAAAAGTTCACATACTTCATGGATGGACTGATATCAGTAAGATGACAACTACCCAGTCTCAGCTCTAATAGTGATGAATGCAGAGCCATGGACTGAAGCCAGTTCGTTTGATTTTGAAGATTAATTTCACTAAGGTTGAGATATTTCAAGGAAGAAAATTGAGAAAGCCAGTGAAGATTATCAACATGAAGGTCATCATTAAAGGATAGGTCTAGGAACTGAATGCTAGAGAAGTTAGCATGTGTTTTATTAAAAGGTGCACTTAAACTTGTAAAGCCATTCAAGCTGAAGTCCAAGTAGTTCAAAAATTCAATTTTGAGCAAAGACAAGTTGATTTCACCTTCCAAGTATTGTTGCTTTAGATCAAGTCTTGTAACTCTGCCTGTGATGTTATCACAATGGACCCCTTTCCACGCACAGCAATCTCCTTCATTGGACCAAGTGGGGAGCTTGTGGCTATTGTTCAAAACACCAAGTTTGAACATTTGCAACGCATATCGATCTTTATTGTTGCAGAACAGCTTCATATTGGTGCTACACAAGCCAAAGTGGAACTTGGTTGCATATAGCAATAGCAACAGAACAATTGAAATTTGTTGAACCATTGATGATTAATTAGTTTTGAGTATAAGAAATCAGTGAAATGGTTTATGGTGACTCTAATCGCTCCATATATTAGACGTTGTTCTACTAAGGTCCTTCCTGTACGTTACCCCTGAAAGTCTATGGTGACATTCAGCATCAATTACGATAAATTGGAAACATTCAACCAAGCATGTGCTTCGTTGATTCGTTTACGTGACGAAAACGAAAATTGTAATTTTCACGAAAATAAATAAATAAATTATATATATATATATATATTTACAAAATTTTTTCACACTAGTTGTAAGTCTAAAAATTATTACATTAAATTTGAGTTATTCATTTAATTTAAACTTATACTAGTGCTGCGATAAGAATATATTTCCTCCCATATATATAATGTTTATTTAATTTAAATGTAATTTAATTCTTAACAATTACAAAATTATTTTTCTAATCCCTAAAAATTCATTTAAGTTTTTATTGTTATAATCTAAATACTAAAATAATGTTTATTTAGTAATGTGAGAACTAAATTAATTACTTATTTAACCTGTCATCCTTATAATTTAAATAAGTTTTTCTGTTCTTGTCTATATTCTTTAAATTAAGCCTTAAAAATAATTTTTTGATATCTAGTTTCTAACAATAAAAATAAAAAATTAGTTTTTATTATTTAATATTTAGTCTATAATAATAATTAAGTTTTTACCTTTTTAAAATAGGTTAAATTATAAATTTAGTCTCTATATATAATGTGATATTTTAATTTTATCTTTACATAAAAAATGTTATAATTTAGTCTTTATATAAGTAAATATTTTAAATTAAATCTTATCGCTTAAAATTTATCAACAATGTTAGATAAAAAGAAACAAAATGTAAAAATAAAAATAAAAATTCATATGAGAATTAAAATATAAATTAAAATTATAAAAAATAATTTATAAATAAATGTTAATTATAAAAACTAAATATTTATTCTAACTAGAAATTAAAAATAAAATAGACTTAATTAAAAAAATGAAGTATCAAATGAAAATATCATAAAATTTTAAGAAATTAAAAACTTATATTTAAAAAATAAAAATTAGAATAAAAAATGTGAATTTTTTAAGGATAAAGTTTAAACAACTAAATATAGTAAAATTTTATTAAAATAAAAAACATTTATTATACTTTATTGTAACTAAATATGTATTCTAACTATAATTTAAAAAAAAATTATTTGTTTAGGTACCGAATTAAAAACCAAAATTTTTAATAAAGTAAAAACTTATATATTAAAACAAGTTTATATATAGTGTAGTTTTGTATTTTAAAGATAATAAATCTCTTATTTTTTATAATTTTTTTCAAATATTCTATAGTAATTGACGCATAATAAAACTGTTAATATTGATATTTTATTTATTTATTTGAAAGTATGATAAAAGGTAAAAATATAAAATAATAAAGAAGTTAACTTCAACCCTTATTACTAAATTTAAAAAACTAATTTTATAAAAAATTTATTGAAAAGAGAAATGTTTTATACTTTTGTAATTTTGATATAATAAGTGAATTCTTTTATAATAATTTTTTTTATGTTTAAATGCTTAAACTCAACTTTAACTATTGAAATTAAGAAAATACTTATAACTTGAAGTAATTTTTTTGTTAGTAAAAAAAAAAAAGGTGTGTTCTAAAGGTAAGATTAAACTATAATATAAGCTAGTTTCTATTTACAAATTAATTTCTATAATTAAAAATTTACATTTTGATTTCATTTATCTATGTGACGTCCCTAACTGTGGACCCAAATACTACACATGGATATTTCATACTTTCATGTGCCATACAACCGATGACATCTCTATGTAGAGAGGACATACTTTCTAATACGAGAAAGTTGACATTCATATCAGATTCATATAACACTCTTTATCGATAAATCATTTTTATAATTTTTATGTATTATAAAGAATTTATAATTTTAATTAAATTATTAATTGACTCTTTCTAAATCATGATAAAAAAACATAACAAAATTTTAAAACTTTCATTTCTTGTTGTTGAATCCATAAAATTTTAATAATACTAAAAATGATTGAATTTAACACATAATTAAATATTTTTTAATATAACATAACTTACTAAACAAAAATAAAATTTGAACTGCAGTACATTATTAATATATTTAGTATTACTTAAATACATGAGTTCAATATTTACAAGTTATAATCAAAATATATTAGGACTTATTAAATAATTACAAAATTAAAATATATCAAGTCTTAATAAGCGGATAATTTCTATACCCAAATACAGAGACAGAGAAGTAATCCTAATCTGAATCAGTTTAATTGGTCTTTGAAAAGTGGTCATTTTTATTTCCTGAAAATGTAAATAAAGATAAGTCTTCTCTTTCCACTAGAATAGAGCCAAATAATCAATTTAGAAATTTCACAACAACCAAGCAAAATAACAAATAAATCAACAATGCCATAAAACATATACTATAATTGCATAACGTAATGTGCCATTCTCTTGTATACACAATTCATTACATATTGTGATCATAATCTTTCAGTATTTTATAATATCTCTTGGGTCCTTAACACAATCAATCATGCCTCTTGGATCCATGAGATCATACATGCGTATGGATAGTTGTGAGTTAGCCTTGCACATGGATTAAGTACAGTTAAGAGTTTAATTGGAAAATAAGTATGAAGCCTTGTGAAGCTTCCATTTTCATTAATTTTTGTGCAACTATAAATAGTAGTCACTACCTTTTATTTCTTTCATATTTCTAAAATCGTCTCCATTTTTCATACTCCTTCTATATCTCTGTAACTATCTATAGTAATTTTCATCATATTTGCTTATGTTATATTTTCTACCATTTATTCCTCATTATTTGACTCTTCATAACTAAATATTAGCACTCTCATCATACATTAAACAAGTCATGGTGAAGGTCAAACACCTCCAGACTCAACTCAAATTGCATATTTTTAATAAACCATATTTCAGTCATTCAGTAAACAATAAAGCACATATCATCTAGTTCAGCAACTCAAACAAATAACTAAAAACTCATTTTTCTCCTAACTTTCTCTAGAAAATTTTGATTCAAGTGATCCTTGAGTCAAATCCTAGGTTTTAACACTCAGAATCAATTTTTAAACTTAGATTTCTAAAATAAAAAGCATACAACCACATATAAAAGCAAAGAGTATATGCAAAATCTATATACATCACATGAGTATAATTTTTATCGATGAGATAAAACTCTCCTTACCTTAAGTAGATGATTTACGTAAAGTTTTGATAGATGTTGTCCAAAAGACTAAATTCTTCCTATGCATTACAAAGTAGAATAACTTTTGAGAAGAAAGAAAATGATGAAATAGAAGTGAGATTAGAAGTAAAATCTCTAAGAAACTTACTAGAAATCGAGTAGAAAAGTTGTCAAAGTTCATATTCAGGAGAGGTTTTGGGAATAAGGCATTTTTCTTGTTGTGGAATAGAGTGAGATGAGAATGGTTACTTGCTTTGTAATCTAAGTTCTAAAAATGTCAAAATTACTTAAATACCCCTTTACTCGAGGATTCTCACTTGAGCGACAGCCTTTTCTCGCCTAGGCGAAACTATTCTTGCTTGAATGAGAAAAGCAGATAAATTATTTTTTTTGCATATCTATTGATTTTTTGGTTGAGCAAGACATTTTTGCTTGAGCAAAAACCCTCTAGAGAGCTCATATTTTGTCACTCATTCTTGTTTAAGCAAGAGAGCTCCTCGCCTAACCAAAAGCATAGTTGAGCAATTTTTATCCACTCTCGCTTGAGCAAGAACTATCTCACCTAAACGAAAATTATTTCACCTAAGCAAGAATGCTCCAAAGGTGTGCCTGCTCAGATTAAACAATTTTGCATGAGCTAAATATTTTTCGCTTACGCGAGAAATACTGTATTTTTACAAAAATAAACTCCTCCATTTGAAAACAAAAATGCAATGAAAGCTAAGGTGTTACAACTCTTTCACCTTTTAAGAATTTCGTCCTCAAAATTCATTGGCTCTAGAAGAGATGAGGATATGTCTCTCTCATTTTGTTCTCAGGTTCCATGTGGCATATTCTTCATCATTTACCTCATAACACCTTCACCAGGGAGATGATCTTGACTCAGTTGCTTGATTTGATGATTGTTGGAATTTTTTTCTTAAAACACAGCAAGTGTACCGGATCTATTGCATGTAATTACCGGTGGAATATCGGGATATCATTCTCAAAGAGCAATTCAAAATATATTAATTGTTAAGATATAAATTGATTGAGCTTATATACAATAAAATTAATTGATAGTTTTTATAAAAATTGAGTAAAAATTATAATGTAAGACAATGATGTAAAATGTAGTAAAAATCAAATTAGAGAAATTGAAATTGAATTTCATCTATCTCCATCTCTATATTCTAGTAATTCAGTGATAAATATAGTAATCATTTACATTGATATTGATGCAAAATACAAAAATCATATAAAAGCAATTAACAAACTATCTAGCATTACAATTGAAATTTAAAAGCAATCAATAACTCCAAATCTATTTCTAGAATGACCATTTACTGAGTAATCTCAATCAGATCTAGATCTAAACAATACCTTCTCAGATATAACTCAGATTTGAGCTCAAGAAACTATCAATTAAACATATTCAAGTATTAAACACAGGTTGAAATCACTAATTCAATAAAAATGAAGAAAAAATATCTATATTTATATAAATTACTGAGAATATATCAAGTTTGAAGATCTACATTCAATTCCACAAAAGTATTAGCTACGCATTATAGCCATCGCATCAAGAAAAGGGGTACAAACGGTATAAAACATGAGAAAATGGGTGTTCCCACTCTACTTTTAAGCTCTCCGACGCTTTTCTCTCTCAAAATCTTGAAATGGAATAGTAACCTATTCTAAAACACAAAAATTGCTTTTTATACCATTTTGGACAAAGCTTCTCTTGTTACAGCGCTATATTCTCGTTATAGCGAGA